GCCCGGCCCGCGGCCGGGGCGCCCCCGGCCGCCCCGGCCCCCGGGCGCGCCCCCCCCGGCACCCCGGCCGGCCCCGGCGCCCCCGGCTCCGGGCGCGGAGCGGGGGGCGAAGATACCCTGGAGGGAGGAACTGAGGTTTCGGTTGAGGAGGGTTCAAGGGTGGAGGGATGTTTTGGTGAAGTGTGTTGAGGAGTGTGAGCGTCAGGGAGGGGAGAGGGGGGAGGTGTTGAGGTGGGGGCTTTTGAAGGAGAGGGTTGATGATTTGGGGAGGTTGGTTGAGAGGGGGGTGGGGGGGAAGTTGCCGGGTTTTGGTGGAAAGGTAGAGGGGGTGAAGAGTGGGGGTGTGGGGAAGAAGAAGGTGAAGAAGGGAGTGAACGGAGGGGAGGAAGGAGGGAAGGGAGGGGAGGAAGATTGGTTTGCGGATGTTGGTGACGGCAAGGGTGCACGCAAACAAAAGCACCCGAATACACTCATAGAAGAAGACCAAGACGATTCCACCGCCGAAATCTGGCTGGAACCCTCTTCCCCATCCTCCTCGTCTCCCTCAACAACCACACCCCCAACACCAACGGGCATAGCAACCCACACACCCGCCCCGCGCCGCACCCGCACCTCAATCCTCGGGGGTGCCATGCGTCGTCTAGAAGACAAGTATTACGCTGGCGAACGTCTTACAGTGCGTGAACAAATGAGACTCAACAACGCATTAGTACTTGCGGGTGGTGAGCCGATTGCCGGGACGTTTGTTAGTTATGGGACTAGGGTGAGGTTGCCGGAGAGGGAGGTGGGTGAGGAGCGTGGAGCTGTGGAGGAGGGGGAGGAGGAGGAAGGGGAAGTGGGTGGGGGGATGGCGTTTGAGGAGGAGGAGGTTGAGAGGGTTCGGAGGGAGGTTAGAGGGGGTGGTGCTTTGGGACGGTTGGTGAAGTTGGGAGAGGAGAAGGAGGAGGAGTGGGTTAGGGAGAGGGGGTTTTAGATGGGTTTTATATGGGAGGAGGGAGGCTGTGAGAGGGGAGTCAGTTTAGGATAGGATCGGGATCGAGTGGGGCGGGTTTTATAGGTAGTCTACAGGATCCGATGTAGGTTGTAGAGTAGAGGAGGATCCGATAGTTTTGTTACTACGTTTCTTTTCATGTATGTAGATGTTTTTTCCTTTTGTTTATTGGTAAATTATGAACCGAAATATCACCCCTAGTGATCGCTTTACCCCTTAAATGTCAAACCCATCGAACATGATAGTTTCATCTTTGCTTTCACGAAAACCAGGTTACATATTTACAACATCAACAGTGGCCACAAGGATGTGCGAAAAGTGAAGGGAAGATCCTTACATACACCCCACTCACATCAAACAGCGTTGTTCCAACCCCTTCATTCCCCCCCACACACCCCTCAAAACCCCTTCCTCGCAAGCATAGTCGCAATCTCCAAATACAACATAATAGCATTAAACTGCTTCTTCTCCTCCTCCTTCCTCAACCCTTCCTTTACCTCCTCGCTCCTCTTCTCCCCCTCCTTCTGCGCCTCCTCCTTCTCCCCCTCAGCACCCTTATCATTCCCGACCGCACCCTTCACACCAGCCTTAACATCCCCCACAACCTCACCAACTTTTTTGGAAGCTTTAGCGGCTTTGACTGCCGCTTCCCACTTCCATGTGTTGAAGAGGTTGATCAAGTCGACATGGTCTGCGTCAAGTGTCCGTATATATTCTCCCCATTTCGCGGATTCGATGCTGACCAGTCCGTCGTTCTTCCCCTCAATCGTGTTAAGATACTCCCAACTCCAGAACATCGGGTAAGTGGCTTTTATTAGTGGTGACAGATGCGAGAGTGGGCGTGTGGCGTCGGCGCCGTAGGAGAAGTATGTTATGGAGGGGTTGTTGGGTGTTGAGGGGTTGAATGTTTCTGAGAGGTGGGTAGGGGTTAGTTGGAGGAATGCGCGGAGGTCGAGGGAGGTTGAGCGGGCTAGGAGGGTTGTTAGGGGGGAGAAGAATGTTGCGAGGTTTGCGAAGGAGGCTACGGAGGAGCCGCGGTGTGGGGTGGAGATTGTTGTTAGGGACTGCGGGTGGGTTGCGGGGGTGGGAGTTTGGGTGGTATGTGGTGTGGGGATGAGTGTAAGTGACATATCTGATTGCCGCACCTCCGAATTGGAATCTTCAAAGAAGGTTCATCTTACCCTGACTTTGAATGGTAACTCATTCTCCGGTCCTGATAAATGGTGCGAAATCATATACCGACAATCCAAACCGCCCTACCCTTGCCAAATCATCAGTACACGGCGTCTCGTCAACCCCATTGATCATCACGGTTTCCACTCACACAAAACTCACCATAGAATGCCCAATCAGATTCAACTCGGAGCCCTCAGGCACCTTCTTCACCAACGTATCCTTCAGCACGCCTGCACGAACGCTAATGTCTGCCGCACGCGGCACTTTCGTGATGATAACATTGCATCCGAGTTCTTCCAGTGCTTCGCGGACGCCGGTCCAGTAGTGCAGGGGGAGGAAGGAGGGACCCATGGTGTCGAAACCTAGGAGGCCTGTCATGCCATGGCCCGGTAAGAGTCAGCATCCCAATGACTCCAATGTGCCATGCATATTGTTACCAGGCATTTTTGATCATACCATGACATAGGACGATGGTGTTCTTCGGAGCCACGAAACGCGCTTCAGGTTCATCTTTTTGGTCGGGACGGGGGTCTGACGAGGGGGAGGAGGTGGTGGTGGTGTTGAGGGAGCGGCGGTGAATAGCAGTCCAATGTGCAATAGACCGATGGCCATATGTGCACTGCCGGGTTAGGACAGCACCATCGCGTAGGTGGAAACTAGCAAGAGGCCGCATCTTACTATTGATGGCTATCGGAATGAGGGAATGGAATACATGAGGACTTGTGGTTTGGCAGGTGGAGAAATGTTGGTAAAAGTGAATTTCGAAATGGTGGGGAAAAGTGGAAGGCGAGTGACATCACCTTCCTGCTGCGCCACATTATGCTCTGGAGGGAGCGCCAGGGTTCTGTCAGGGTCCTTGACGCGACGCATATTGGGGAGGCCGAGTGGTTGACCCCGATGCAGCAGGGAATCATCTATCCGTATAGTTCTCACACCACTCATGTCTATCAATCGCTGTGGTGATTTGTCCCTTGTGCATTGCAAGCAGATAGAATCAAGGTTTCATAGATACTCCTACCGGATTCAATCGAGGTTTCATGGATACCCTTACCGCAGACATCTGTCGGGCTGGACACTAGCAAGATTCCCAACTGCAATGCATGAGCCACGTCTTTGCATGCTGACAGATTGCTCATTCCTGTTGCCTCTCCTTCCTCAGTGCTATTCTTGTTACCTCTTCCTTCCTCAGTAGTGCTGAAGTCGATAATGTACCACTTCCTCGTACTACGTGACACGATGGCCGAGTGGTTAAGGCGTTTGACTCGAATCCAACCGGATATCAAATGGGATCTTCCCGCGCAGGTTCGAATCCTGCTCGTGTCGGTACCACGTCCTTGAACTGAGTTCATTTTGCAAAGTCGACCTTCATTGATTTTCTTTTGCAAACCCGATCAGTCCGCTTGAGCCTGTGCTTCCCAGCGAGTTCACTGGTGCAACTCCTTTCAGCATCGATGCAACTCGCTTTGTATGTGACCCTTTTGCTTGGTACAGTGTCTGCATGCGGGTTACACAAGCTCCAGTGCAGGTGTAAAAGTCGAGTAAAAGTTGAGGTAACTTCGAAACTGTCGGAATGCTGATCGGACAGGATGCATTGGTCAAATAGAAGCGCTCTCCGCTCTTATTGACTAGTCCCATCAACTACTGAGAAATCAGGTATGCACTTATGGATCATTGGGACTTCAAATGTCCGGGAGGATGGCGAGCAAGGCAGCTTTTTGGGGAGGAACAGGTTTCAAACAGCCATACAACCTTTAGCTAAGCAAAAGGCGCCACGGGTCCTAAAGTCGGGCATGTTCGTGTGGTTTTGAACTCGGTGAGCTACGAAGTTCGTGTTTAATACGACATGAAAATATCCTCTGGATACCAATGCTAGATCGATAAAGCGTTGTTGAGAAGAGGGCAATCAATCAAAAACATAGATGATGAGCGTGCTACTACCTGTCAGACTCCCAGTTCGGAACTTTAGGGGTCGCAACTCCTTTCAAGAGATATACCCTAAGGCCCTTGTAGAATTGCATACTTGAGGAGAGCCGAGCCGATGTTTTTTTCATTTACCATACAAAAGCGAACCCGAAACATCGGAGCGCGCGCCGGTATTGGCCATCTTTGGAATGCCTTTCGGACAGTTGGCTGCCATCCCAATGCTGATTCGTGCAAGCAACAACAATGTCCGCTTCTCCAGACCTTACCAAAGATGCATAGGTTTCGGAGCTTGATCGAGCTAATTCTACATCAATCATTCCATAAAATTTGAAAACCCAAATTTCGAACAGCGAAAGCAAACGTGAGGTCACATAAGCGAGGTCCAGGTATGTCGGACCACCATGTGTGCGATGAGTGTCTTAACGATCCCATTCAGAAATCGAGATTCGAGCTTGAAAGGTCGATTGTTTCCCTGACGCTCAGGTAGAGATGAGGTTGACGGTTAAAAGCGCGCATACAGTCGGAGGCAACAATACCGGGTCACCTGCCAGCTGTTCCAAACTTCTGATCCTTCCATCCCTCAAGATCGACAAGCCCATGCCTGATGATGATATGTTTCTTTTTACCCCACTTCTCGTGCAATCATGATTGGAGGAGGGTGCACAATAAGGTGGCAAGTCAAAAAAAGCCGCAACAAAAGGTGACACCATCGAGCATCCCAATAGCTAGCTACCATGCGGTCTCACATCTACACTGATTGAACAGAACATCGACCGACCCACGATCCCTGATGAACGAACAAACCTAACACACAACATTGAACATCATGATCTCAATCAACCCCCGTCCGACCGGGCATACGCACATTTCCAGTACTTCTGTTTTGACGTCTGGTTTCATTGCTGTCGAATCACATTGGTGTAGAGAGACAATCGACTAGCTTGACAATCTTTCGTCAGCACACCCAACCGTCGGCGGACAAAGGTGGTTCGGGAAACCGAATTCCTTTTACATCTTACGCAATTTTTTAAGGGGTGGATATGGTGGGAATATCGCGCACTGTAAATACTTTACATCATTCGCTTTTCCTTTCCCCTTCCACCTGTCATCTGCTTCCCCCGCACAGCCATTACTTCTTACCCCTCTCATTGGAGTTTACCACCGGTAGCAGTTTGGCTTTCGACGCTTGTAAGTGCAATCCCTCGTGTCGGCTACGCTGTAATCTGTCAGACCAGGAACTTACATGTCAATCGTTTGTTACTCAAAAACAGTATACCCCAACCAATCTCCTCCAGTCATACAAAACTGCTCCGTCGGCGCTGATGAACTTGCAAACGGCAGAGGATATTATGCATATGGAGCTGACATATGCTCCACCTGACTATCACGCACGAACCTCTCCAATGCGACCACCCCGAGCTCCTCTCTCCATCCGCACAACATCCCGACGTAACTCATCAGAATCCATCCTGCCGGACCCGCATCGCGTTAATTGCCCACCCGCAGGACATGGGCTTCCGCTGCACCCGACACCTGACGAATCTCGCGTACCAGTCTCGTCAAGCCGGTATTACCTTACGCCATCTCCTACAGAACCGTCCTCGAGCCCACGAACAAGTCCGACACCATTATCTGGAGCAGATGGCAGCGGATCAAGCGCACAAGCTCCTTTGAGCCCACTGCCAACACCTGACAACTCAAGGCCAGGATCGGCTGCCAGTTTCCGTGGCACTTCGGTTGCTTCCAGTCCCATTCCGAGGTTAAGCCCGACACCCTCTACGCCAAGCCCAAGGTCAAGTCCAACTCCGTCGGCGCAAAGCACGCGGTCAACCTCTGAAGACTCCAACCGCCATCTCAGTCACCACTCTGCGGACCCAGCCCACCCACCCCTCCCCACCCTCATCCAACCCCAATCTCAATCCCACCATGCCCTCCGCCAACCATGGACTCGGCCCCACCACGACATGCCCCGCCTCCACCCCCAAAACTGGTCAGCAACAGCCCCATACAGCATCCAAGCCGTCCTCCAGCGTGCAACATCCCTTCCATCACCACCCGCATCTTCCATCGCATCCGCAACCCCATCTCGGCGCCGAGGCGATGACACGATCATTGCGCCATCCAGCAGTCGTCGCCGATTACTTGGCTCCCGCAGTGCCAGCTCGTCATCTTCCTCCCACCACCATCATCACCACCAAGCGTCGCCCTACTCCAACAACAATGCCTCCGTCCACCCTTCCTTCCGCTCCAAATCCGTCTGCAAGCTTGAGTGCAGGTATTGCTCGCAAAATATTTGTGGACGGGGGATGAAGGCTATATTGTTGGCCGATACAAGAGTGAGTGACTTTCAAATTTCAGTCAGAGTTCAACTCTTTCTTTGATACTTTTAGTTACATTCGTCGAGGTCATGCTGGGGACATCCATGTTGTGGGCTGAGGACATGATCAGAAGTGTCAAACATTGATAGGACGTTGTTCCAGGAAGAAAGGCACATCAAATTACTCTTTGCTTACACATTTTTGTTTCATCAGGTGGAGCTGTACAGCACGGATACGGTTCCCTCTGGGTAGGTTTCCATCGTCCTCCCCTGTATTTTCGTTTTGATAATCCTTGACGTCCATATACTCATCTTCCGCTATCGTCTCTTATTTTGAACAGTCGCGTTCAACTGGTGGGCGATGACTACATGACCCGGAACTGCCAATGTCGGATCCGTGATGTTGCGTGCCTGATTTGGTGAGTTTTTTCAGCGCTTTTGGTAATGCGCCTCTAAGACCTGGTAGAAAACTGTTTGAGGCGCTTGCTCGGCGCCATCACGTCATCTCAAATGAGAGGGCCCTATGTTGATCTTCTTCTATGAGGTGACCTATGACTGATCGATTTTCGGATTTCCTCTCTTTTCCTTCTTTTGCCGATGCACAGCGGCAATGTAGTCGGCTATCACGTCACCCAACCCTGCGAAGTCTGTATGGGCGCCTGCAACAACGGTCATTTCTGGATGTTCCATGATGACGCCGTCGCGGCGATTGAGAGGATGGATTCAACAGGTATGAGCAACAGAGGCAGAGAGCACCGCGCCCGGGGTGAAAGGGTCTATCCTGCTTTGGGCAGTACTTGTTGATCCTGTCAATCACTTCGCGCACCCACAACTCCACGATGGAATACTTAGTATGCTGTTAAATCCTCAGGTCAATCCGTTCTCGTCTGGGCCCACCTTCCCTTCGCCGACCGTGACGCAGAACTATGGGACAACCACGACGTCGTCTGTCGCTGAAACCCAAAAAAGCCAGATCACCATCTCTCCACCATTCAGCCCATCCAAATTCTACCCAAAACCATCAAACAACCACAAACTGCTTCACATCACATCACGACTATTTTTGACCATACTCCCTGGACACATCTGCGAAAATTATACCCGCACACCGCTCGCATATACCCGTTTGACGCCGCAATTTGTTTACCCCCTGCGACTAATATCCGCTTTCGTTGGAGTGAAGGGGCTGTCGGTCATTCCTCTCCTTCAAAATCATTGGCCAAATTCCCTTTCTTTCCCTTTTTGTCTTTCTTCCTTTGCGTTTGTCTTCTTCTTTTCTGAGTCTTTTCTGTTTCGGACAACGGTTGGGGGACGGGGGGAGGGAGTTGGGTAAGGAATCATATTTTTTTAAACGACTGCGCAGCTAAACGGCATAGGCATATCTTTAGGGGGCACAAGGGGGCTTACAAAACAGCAAAATATAGATTGTATAGGAGAAGGGAAGATCGATTAGGAAAGGTAGTCGGGGGGTCTTTGTATTCTTTTACGTCTTTTCCAGCTGGGTTCCTGGAAGAATACCAAAGGCCTGGTTTTCCCTTCTTTACCTTACTTGAGCATCGAAAGTTTGGTTTCAGGGCGGAGCCGGATGGGGTGGTTTTTATCGTTAATCGGGCTCACGTCTTCAGATTGCTGATGGCAAGGGAGTCAAGGGTGTGCTTCCTGTGATTCTCTTGGGAACCCCCTCACGTAAAGGAAAGCGTTGTGCGGCGATGGAACAGTGATGGGACAACGCTGTCAACATACAATCCAAGCTTCTCGCAGCGGCCTTTACTATGGCAGCAGCGGGGCTGCTGGCAGCGCACCTCGTGTGAAATGCAATAGTATCGCCCCCTCGCCCAACCACACCATCAGAGCCATTTGTAAAGTTGATGAAAGAGCATGTTGGGTGTTCTTTCTTACGCCGCCGAACACGATGAAGATGAGGCTCACCTGCCACAACACTTGCACACACTTGAACGGCACTGCCCGGCGGCTTCTATTGCATTGACGACGACGCAGAGGTTCTGGTGTCGAGCATTTTCATCAGGGCATGGAAAGGTCTCAAACTTCACATAACCCACGAATGAATTTGCAAGTAGCTCAA